AAGGTTACTTTGAAGTTTTAATGAAAGTAAGTAAGCCTGTACAGTACGGACTAGAGCCTGGGGAGGGTTTTCTTTAGGAACCAAGCCCGCTGTTAGCACTTCAGTGAGACTTTCACATGCCCCCTGGACCGTTTCCGTGCCGTTTCGAAGCAGTTGTGCTTTGCTGATAAAAAATTGCAGTTTTCCCCACAAAACTGAAGGCAGAGGAGGGTGCCCCATGAGTGCTTTGCAGCATAAGCCCTGGGGAGAGCCCCTCGGGTACCCTGTGGTCACCAGTGTGGAAAGAGGTGCCCATTCCACTTCTCTGCTCGCATTTTGCCTGTTCAGTCGGGCTTTGGAATTGCACCCAGTTGTCAGCCCAGCTTGAACTTTGACTTTGACTTGGGGAGTCTTTGCGCAGCCGTTGCCCTCCCCCTGTGTTTTCCTTTAAGAACACTCCTCAGAAAAATACAGATTTCTTTTTTTGTTTAAAAATGTAGACAGGCAGCAGGCCGCTCTTTCTGGTTTGCGGGCTGCCTGCGGTCTGAAAGGGTCCCCGTGGCCCACGGGCACCGGCCCCACTTATTGAGGTGGATGGGGGTGGCAGAGCCCCGTTTTGGATGAGTGTCCTTCTGGAGGCCACCACAAAATGCTGGTTGGCTTCAGAAGGATTTTATAGGAGAACTTGGCTGGAAATTTGTCTGAATAAAGTCAGCGTAGGTGTGAAATCCGGAGTGCTGGGTGTCCCAGGTGCCTTGCAGGGAATGACCGCTTATCCTCTGCCCGTCTTCCAGGATTTCACGTTTTGGGGTTTATTATGCGCTGTGCATTGGCAGGCAAAGCCTGCTCTTTAGAAAAGCCTACAGCTTCTATAGGACACCCGTGGGAGGGTCGTTTCACCATTCTTGTGGCAACTGGTGTGTGGTAGGGGAGAGAAACGTTGCCTTAATAGGGTACGTTCATAGGATGACTGTGAAATTGCATGTATACTTGCTTATTACCCACAGGTTTTGCATTTCAATAATAATAGTAATGATTGTAATGATACCTTTCCTTTACATCGAGCCTTTCATCCCAAAGGGGGCTGTAGTTATTCTCCGGCAGTGACAAAAGAGGTTGGTAACACCCAGTGTAAAGCAGCCATTTTTCTAACTCGCTCGGTAGGTTGTGGTGTATTTCGCACTATTCAGGCAATTTTGGAAAGTACTATATCATTATTATTACTGTGCAATCCAAGCACTGTTCAAACCCTTCTGTCTCCTGTTATTACAGCATTGCATTTGTGATACTACAGTTAAGAGCGAGGGAGTTACCATTTACAGAGCATAACCCTCTTTTTGAGTGATTTTATAATGTTAGGGTTTCTCACCATGTAAAACTGGGTGTAGAAGTTTTCCCCCAGGAGATGGTTTTTCTTTTCTTTTTTCCTTTTTATTTAGAAAAATTCATTTTAAAATCCACTCAATCACTTCTCACTTTAATTTTTTGGGAAATAATTTTGGTGAAAGGATCAGTTTGGTGTCCATTGCCCTGGTCTGTTGGGAATAGGCAGTAAGTGGGGCTGAGTTTTTGCTTTTGCCTTGGGTTTCCGAATGCATTGGAGAAAGGCAGGTGTAAAATACTGCTCCTTTGATGTGACTGCACACTCTTTGCACGAGACTTAGCACCTGCCCAGAGCCCTGTGAACGTAAAACGCCTCTGACACTATCTCAGAGCCTGGATGTGTGTTACGCGTTTGTTTTTTGAACGGAACTACCTGTGCTAAGGGTTCTTAATACTTGGGGTGCCTCGTTTAAGTGAGGTTGTTAGGGGAGGAGCATCTGCATTCTTTATTAGCTAACACTGCTTGCTTGCTTCTTTGTGGTTCACCCATTCTGTTTGCCTGCAGTGCAGCTTGGTGGCCAGCCAAGGCACTGGGGTGTGGAGCTGGGCTTCTGTCCAACGCACGTGCAGAAAATACCCTAAAATACGCTGCTTTTGTATAGGCTGGACTCTCCGAAGGCTCATATCCCTCATCTTTTGACCTCTGGTTGTGTTGCTCTTCCTCAGGCTTATCTGCAGCGTCACCTCTGCGTTGTCTGCCGCAGCCGTGGGGCTTCTCTGCCCTTTCTGGTCAGGCCAACCCTCGCTCTCGGGGCAGATTCCGTAGACTGTGGCTGTTCCGTGCGCGTTTGTTCTCGTTAACCATACGCAGCCGTGGGGCTTCTCTGCCCTTGCTGGTCAGGCCAGCCCTCGCTCTCGGGGCAGATCCCATAGACTGTGGCTGTTCCGTACGCGTTTGTTCTCGTTAACCATGAAGTGGTGATACATCTGGGACATCCATATAGCGCGTAGCGACAAGTCTGCTTGGGTGCGCCCTTCGTTTTCCAGCCTCTCCTTGCGTCTCTGTTGTTGGCAAGCACCGACCTTTCCCCATCAGTCATGAGTGAGCTTGGCGCTCCCGCAGGCCGAAGCCTGGGTCATATTGTTTGTGCCTGGTAGAAAGGAAGGCAGAATTTACTAATATTTTTCTTCTGTGAGGCCCAAATTAACATGGATTTTGAAAATGTGAAGTAATCCCATAGCATCCAGATGATCTTTTCTGAAAACAAGAGATTTATAAATGAGAAACCTGACTTTGGGTCACTAATTGTATCAACACGGCATCCAAGAGGCAGAAATAAAGTAAGACCTGTGCGGTGTTTATACAACTGTCAGTACCCAGAGGCCATTTCCAGACCCCATACCCTGAGATCTGGAGAGCACTTGAAGGCTTGGGCTGTGCTTTGCATTCAAGACACTCTTCCCTGTGTGCTTTGTAAGCAAGAACTCTAATAAGCTTTTCCCAGTTTTGGAAATTCAGGCTGCGTGAGAGTGGGTTGTGTTTACATTATAGTCAAGCGGAATGGATCCGGTATGATTTAATTTAAATGTCTTTGTTTTGGGTATAACTTTGAGTTATTTTTCAAATAGAATGATCTTTCTTTCTTTTTTGAACGCGTGAAATAATTTTTTTCTTTTTTTGTCCCCTTCTTGTTTAAATGTAGATAACTTTATAATTGACTTTAAGCTGGGAAACTTTCCAACAGAGCATAATTACTCTTTTCTTTTGTGCAATGGTTTTTATTAGTGCTATGAAGCCGGGCTAATGTCACAGTACATAAAAACGTGGAAAAAAGGAGACGTGGTCTTTTGGCGTGGGCCGTTTGGAGGGTTCCCATATCAACCTAATAAGGTTAGTTCCCTAAGAGATAGGGGATGTTTCAGCGTGTGGCAGCTAGCTGTGTTTCATATTCCAGAGGGAAGACACCGATTTGATTACTGTTTTCATGATTATTTTGGGGACTTCCTGGGTTACTGTACAGCATTAGCAGTCAACTGGAGAAAGTATACTTAGTGAACTGCGGAATATTTAAGAAGGAAGAGGAGAGGGAGGTGGATGGGAGCCTGGAAAATATTAGCAAGGCTCTCTGTTCATCACTTGCCTTGTAAGTTCCTGGTGTGTTTAAGAAAGGGAATTAATTTTGCACCAGTGATGCTTGTTTTTTGCCTTGTCTGAACAGTGTTGCTGTTGTGTGACTGAGCAGGAGTGAAGGAGGAGTGTTGATCTTTTTCCCTCTTGGGTATTCCCTGAACTGTCGCAGCTCCAGCGAGGTGTCGCGTCACCCAACCGCTCTGCGAATGTTGATCCCGCCTGCCGATACCAGGCTCGCTGCAAAGACAGGCAGATCCAGTTTCGGAGGAAGCCTTCTCACACATCCTAACTCGGTTACTTAATTCTGACCTTTCAAATGAGGAGCAAAATTGAAACACTGGTCATTAAGATACTTATTTTTTTCTTCTTGGTGCTTTTTTTTTTTTACCTCCCAACAAAAATAAGGCTGTAAAATCCCAGTGGCCAACCTCCACACAGAGCAATTGTGTTCTGCTTCCTGAAATGCTCTCCCTGCTGTTTTAGGCTACTGGTCACTTCTCTTAGAAGCTTCCAGATGATAATTTGGGACAGAACACGGCAGCCATGCCTGGAAGTGGCTATCTGGGCGATCGGTGTACGTGCGGTTTGCAAAGCACCTGAGCAATCCTTGAGACATCTTGCTGTAAAAGAACTGTTTAGGAATATATAATTTAGGAATTATAACTATTGTGGGTAGAGCGAACGTCCCCCTCTTGCAGGTGGGAAGCACGATGTGCTGCTGGCAGCTCTTTGAGAAAAGTGAGACGATGGACCAGGAACATGAGTGTATTGGGATGGAGGAGAACATTTCCTCCAGAGAACATTCAGGATGGTACTTTGCAGCACCCAGGATAAACACAGGGAGTGTTTCCAGAGAGAAAACACACGGTGGGTCAGCAAAGTGTACTGCAGAATTAAAACTGAAATATAAATTAGTTGAAACTAAGGCTAAGGTGAGGATAAAGGATTATAGTTGGGTAAAATCCAGTTTCGTTAGGTTTGATAGATAAACCAGGGAAGTGCTGTTGGTAATCCTTTGCAGAAAACTACGTTCTGAGAGTTGAATGTAGCAGTTCTCAGCCTTCTGATGTGTTCTTTCTCAAGGGACCCTTTACCAGCATGGCAGCAAGGAGGAACTGACCGCGAGCATGTCCGTTCCCGGGCACCACAGCTCATTCAAAATTCTCTGTTCCCTTGTTAGCACGGAGAACTCCTCATGCTGGCATCTGGCACTGGCCTCGCACCAATGCTTCCCATCCTCCAGTCCATAACAGATGATGAAGAGGATGAAACCTTTGTAACCCTTGTTGGCTGCTTCCCTACCTTTGACAAAATTTATGTGAAACCTCTTCTCCAGGACCTGGCTCGATACTGGAACATCAGGATATTTTACGTCCTAAGCCAGGTAAATAAACCGTTACGAAGCACGTTCCTGTGCGGGTTCTGTGTGCTGGATGAGCCTCTGCCTCCTCTGCTTTTCCGTGAGCATGATCTTAATTCTTTCCCAGTCACCAAGCCTATTTTGTGATCCAGTAGCTGCTGTTCTTAAATCTGTTAGGTTTTCTCACACTGCTACCAGTCTGGAGAATTTCAGGGAAGCGATCGTCGTGGTTTGTCCCTCTTTACCTCCCCGGTAGCTGTTCTGTTGGGATGGACCCGCTGATTCACAGTCACTGTTGATTATTTCCCTCCACTTCAGATGGTGGTTGCTGCTCCTGAACATTTGTGCCAAGAAAACTTGACTCTGGGAGACTCGCAGCAAATAAACTATTCCTTTTTTCCTAATACCAGTTCCTTAATCTCTCCTTATCCTCCATTCATCGCTCCTGGCTAGAGCGCTCTTCTGGTATGCTAGCACCAACTTGCCAGCAATTATTTTTCCCAGCTGACCCATTTTTAAACTTCTTAAAGTTGTTTCCTCCTCTGTAAGATCCTTCTTTTTTTTTCTGCCAAATCCATGGGATGAGGGCATACCTCTCCGTGGTCTTACATTTTGCAGCAGTCTTTCTTGTTTCCGTTGGGTCCCAAAGTTGCCAGTGTTCTGCATGGATTTGGTGGTTGAAAATGATTTCCCTCAGAAATGAGGATTCATTGCAGGGAGGATATAGAAAGAATTATTTATGCTGAGGGAACGAATCCCAGTGCATTTTTAGTTTCTCAGATGAATCAGTTTTTTGTGTCTTTCATAGCGGACCTGCCTCATACGTTATGTTTCGGGCTTGGCAAGTTGGGATTGGGTACAGGGAAAGGTACGTGTGACTTAGGCACCCCCTCAGCCGCTCTCTGGGAGCGTAGCTGGTGCTTGGCTCTGGGTGACATAGCTTAAATACCCTTCTCAGGACAGTGCTGTCTCAGGAGCCCGAGGAGGTCTTGAAATTCAATCAGTGAAGGGCAAGAAACCTACCTGACCCCTGTCAGCACTGCCTGCCCTGTGTGTACATCTCCCCCTTTCTCCTCTCTTAGCAGGCTCGTTGTAGGCCGGTGCTGACACGTGCATCCTCCCTCACAGGATTGTGTCTGTCTGTCGCAGTATTTCACTCTGCTGCCTGTCACCACCACATCTGAGCACCTCCTGCTCCTAATTAACAGCAGCAGGGTGTTCCCCGCTGGATCGAACATTTCTCCGGGGAGCAGGGTTGGCTTCTTTCAGTGGTGGTCAAGGGAGATGGGACTGAAGGAGACTTGGGAATGGGAGAGGCAGTGGAGAGGAATAGACTTGGAGCTTGGGAATAAAAAAGGCGTGCTGGGAAGTGGTTCTCCAAGGAGAAGTTTCCGCAGCATTTTAGTGATAGTTACGCTCTGGTTTTGTTCAGCCCTCTCTGAGCGAGCTGCCAGATCCCGTGGCACAGAGATTTGGTCTGGGCTTTGGAAGAGGAACGCAGCTCTTGGGAAGGGTCGGTTCTACTGGGATGGAAGCACAAGGGTGAAAAAACATCATCTGAGGGGAAGAGGGAGATTGGGCTGTAAACAACCAGTTGTCCTTTTTAACGTGGCACGATGCAAACCATTTGTCTTTTCAGGAAACTTCACTGGAAAAACTTCCCTGGAGCTATCAGGAGAACACGTACACCGGTCGTCTCAATGAAGGCCTGATGAAGACTATACTGAATTCCTGTCGAAGAAGGCCATTTGTATTAATCTGTGGCTCTTCTTCATTCAATGAAGATATGAGTAGATACTTGAGAGCTGCAGGAGTTGAAGAAAATTCCTGGTTTGTCTTTTAGCAGGATATTCCTGACCTGAGGGACCTCAGGATGTCCTTGTTTCTCATCAGACATTGCTCAAAATCCGTGTCTCAATAGACTGACTTCTTTGTGCATATACTTTTGTAGGCCTTTGGATCAAATACTGGTCTCCGGGAGGATTCTCACTCTTGAGAGTGTTTTAAGGAATGGGTGCCATTCCAGAGTGGTTGCTACATGGTGTGCCACCGCACCTCAGGGGACAGCACGGTGATTTTCATGGGAGTCTTCACGTGCAGTTTCACGAGCGAGATCTCCTAAGGCTGCTAAAAAACACCCAAGTACACAGTTCGGCTGTAATTTGAAGAGCAGTGACTTGCTTTGCAATCCACGTTAGTCTGCAGTGGTGTTGTGCCCTGGTAGGTGTCCAGAGGTGAGACTTAATCCTCAGGGAGAAGACTGCCTGGCCAGGGGGACAGCAGAGCACTGGCCTGGCACTCTGGATCCATGGGGTTCATTTCAGTTGTGTCATTATCCTGCTGGGTGATGCCAGGCAAGTCACTTCAGCCCCTCTGTACCTCAGTTGCCCCGTTAAGCACTCATAGATAGAAGGCAATGCTGATCTGCTCTGGAAAGAGCCTTTCCAAGAGAAAAAACTGTACCTAAGGATGGAATCATACATGATGCCCAGTGAGGACTCTGGGAGGCTGTCCACCTGCCCTAAGCGGCCTGTGTTACCTACCCCAGTCCTTAACCCTTGAAATGCTGCCTGGGGAGAGAAAGAGCATGTCCTAAACCAGAGAAAGCAGCGGGTTGTAGCTGCTCTCCATCGGGGAGGTTGGTGGGTTGCTTTCCATGTCCCCTAAGTGTTGTGTAAAACCTGGGTCATGAAATTGAACCTCTTTTCAAGAAAAGGCAGCTGTTTCTTTTGGTGGCAGGTGCCCGAGGGGCGCCCTGAGCCTGCGAGAGCACCGCCTGCGGAGCGAAAGCTGCACGGGACTGTGCTGGGCTGCTGCCCGCGGGGCAAGGCTCTGCCCTGGGGGATGGCAGCCCTGTGGGGCCTGGGCACAGCACCCAGCCTGGGTACCCCAGCCCCTTCCTCCTTCTTCAGTCCAAGCCACTGCTGCCTTCCCTCCAGGATACCCGCTGTCCGCTCTTTTTCCTTCTTAGGCCGCCGTGTTTACTAGCTACACCTGGAAATACAGCCTTTCTGCACACCTCTGTGTTTTTCCATTCCTGTGTTTGGGTTTCCCAGGCTGTGACAGATGATACTGCATTTCATTCCTGTCTCATTTTTTACCTGGATCTAATAGTACTCCTTACACAAAGGAGATGCAGTGTAGGAGTTGCTCAGAATAAGCAGCGTGCACCAAAACGGTGACTCCAATTCACACGCCGAGAGGAATTCCCCTCTCATCGGTGAGATTTGTCTCTGCTTACTGAATGCCTCGAATTAATCCCTTATAGCTGCAGCTTTTACGTTAACTTGATCAGAGCAAGGGCTGGCAAGAATAACCCAAAACAGGGTCCTGCATTAAAGACGTGGAGAGATCTGGGGGAGCTGGCCATCGTAGGTCCAAGGCGTTAACTTGATCAGAGCAAGGGCTGACAAGAATAACCCAAAACAGGGTCCCGCATTAAAGACGTGGAGAGATCCGGGGGAGCTGGCCGTCGTAGGTCCAAGGTGCTCTCGACTCCCACCCAGTCGCTCTCCCTCTGCTAAAAACACGGAGAAAATATTTTCCTCAAGTATTCCCTACTCTGAGAACTTGTATACCTCTTCCTTTAAATATTCTGCCTTTCCCGGATTTTGCTAAAAAATCCACCCAGCCTTTTTTCTCAAAGCCTGAAGTAAAGCTTCCCGCTGGCTCCGGAGAAGCGACGACCTTCTGCGCGAGCGCCGGGGCTGTTCCTCCCCGCGCACCCCCAATATGTCTGGGTATTTCGGCACATATGGGCCGCGGCGGTTAAACCCTGCCCAGCTGGTCCGGCCGTTCTGCCGCGACGCTCCCGTCTTTGTTGGGGGCTGGAAGGGAGGGTGGTGAGAGACGGAGCGGGCTGCGAAGGCAGGCTGCAGGCGGAGCGGGAGGAGGGGGTGCTGAGGGGACGGGGGTCTTGGCGAGACGGTGTCCATGTCCTTGGGAGTACGAACTCGAAGGGGCCTTTAAACAGCCCGTGGGCACTTCGTTCTCTATTTTCCGCCCTTCTCTCCCTTCCCCCTCCCGCCTTTTGTCATTTTTGTGCTGGCTCTCCCCTCTCCCCAACCCATCCCCATGGGAAAAGCCCCTTGGTGCTCCTGCAGAGGCAGGGACCTTGGATGGAAAGGCTCTCGGGCAGGATTTTCCCTACGGAGGGAAGGAACACCCTGTGGTTGCAGCTTTACAGGGAAATGGTAGCGATGCTGTCGATTCTCAGGGATCTGTGGAGCTGGAGGTGCCTGAGCTCCCTGCGGGGC